CATGCATTTATATATACCTAAAATATTTGCGTTTCGATGAGGTATAAAATAATCTAGTTGCTTCAAATAATTTGTTGATGTGGAAAAGTGTGCGTGTATGCTAGTGTCTCTTGATGTGCTCGTAGATGTACGAAACCGGCATTGATAGCTCAAAGTAATTAGAGCAAATGTAAACCAGCGTATTTATCGAACAGATTATGATTACTTGTTAGCATTTGCTATCATATTGCTATACTATATTCCTACTTGGTATCGACACTAAGAGGCATTTTGTCAGTAGTATACGTGTAAGTAGTGTAAATTAATCTAACTTGTAGTCGTATATTGGTGGGATTGACCGCAAAATCTCTTTATCAGTCATTGTTAAGCTGACTTGCATTTCGAGTGAAGGTATGGGTTACAGAAATTTGAAGGTGAATTTCACAAGATGGCGACTAGTAGCGGATTGCTCTCGGCTTTACTGGAACAATCTTGTTGACTTTGTTCTTGAGGCAATCTCCTTACGATACTGTGAAAAAATGCTAAGCCCTTGTCCATTCTATGAGAGACGCTATCAGGACAGGATGCTGTTTAAAAATAATTTTAACATTTAACATTAAAGAAAACTCACCGGCTTTCCTCCTAAATCTATGCACTTTTTATGAGATATTACTAGATTTGGTTATTTGAAGTCACATACTGACACTAAGGCATGTGCGTGCGTATATCTGGGTGTGTGTGTATGCTTATGTGCAAAAGCATCATATACAGCTAAAAGAAAGTAAAGCTAGAAGCAGACCCTTGGAACACACATAATAGTCGGATTTTTATCGTTTATTTGCATGTTCTGTCATATTAATAAATTATACTATACTATAGTATCCCATCGCAAACTATACGCTACTAAACAATGCTATGATATAAAATGATAAACTATATTAGAAACTATACTATATTATATTGTGGAGGCCATAATATAAAATGACGATTCTATACAATACCAACTGTGCTATGCTAAATTATTCATTAGTGTACTATATAATAGTAAACTAAACTATATATGCTATACTATATTGTACTAGATTATACTATTCTATGCTATACTGTGCTACGCTATACTATACTATATTATACCAACTTATACTATCGTAAATTATATGAAAATAAACTATACTGAACTCTAAAATAAAGATGCGAAACTGCGACCATATCTTGTGTCACAACATCTTGGTCTTCATATCTATAATATATTATATTACGGTATGCCATACTATATTATAATGAACTGTACTCTACTATTCTATGTTATACTATACTATGCTATTCTATACAATACTCTACTCTAATATGCTATGCTATAGTATACTATAATGAACTATTCTAAACTATATTATATTATACAATACAATAAAATACAATAAAATACAATAAAATAATATACTATGCCATAATATAATATATTAAACTGTACTATACTACACTATACTATGCTATATTATACAATACTTTACTTTACAATACTATACAATTTTATTCTAAACTATACTATACTATACTAAACTAAGCTATAAAATATAATATACTACACTATACTTTGTTATTATATATTATACTCTACTGTACACTATTCTATTATGCTATGCTATGTTATGGTATAGTATACTATATTTTATCATATACTGTCGTAAATTATACGAAAATAAACTATGTTTAACTTTAATATAGAGTGCTATGCTATGGAAAAGTATGTTTTACTATAATATACGAAAATAAACTATAATTATACTACACTATATTATATTATGCTATACTTATCTATCTTCTACAATACTAATTATAATATGCTAAAATATACTACTTGTGTTACTTGCATCCGTGTAATTTGTCTACATAAATGTAATTTAATGGATGATGCCAAATAACTGCATACTCCACGACTGAGCTGGGTAATCAGCATTTGCTGTTGCTATGTGGATATCCTCGATCATCACGGCCGAACGTGTCGAGGTAGGTGTCGTCGTGTCTTCGAGCATGGCGAGAGACACGATCGCCTGGCCCAGGGTGGCCGGGCCACCGGGTGGAGGATGTGTGACATCCACGAGGGTGGTGGCCCTGCAAGATCCCATTTTGTTGATATTGACGTTGTTGATGGTGGTCGCGACCACGCGGAGGCGAGGCGGCCAAGTACCGGTAGCCCTTGAGTCGAGAGGAGGGGCGCGCCAGTCAGATCGTCTCTTCGGACGGGTCGGATTTGTGAGGGTCTCCGGTGAGTCGCATCGCCAGGCCACACGTTCTCGTGGTCCCGTGGCGGGGGTTCGAGCCAGCGACCGGTCGGTACGAGCCTGTGCCAGGCAAATGGCCCTGGCCAGCTGGGTCTTGCCCGAGCCCGGTGGGCCACGCAGCACGATCGGCCTGTTCGAGTGGATCAGGAGTCCGCCGGCGCAGAGGTAGGGCGTCAGCTGGTGTGGGTGGTCAAAGAAGGTCAAGGAAGAGGGCAACTTGAAGAAGAGTCGGAAAGTAGAAAAGCATCTCTAAACTGGCCGACGGAAGCCGGTGGGCTCGGACAATCGAAAAGTATGCAACCTCATGGATTTTGTCACACTTCTGGAATCAACCCTCGTTACGATGTCACTTTGGGCTCAGTTGCAGTCCTCTTTCATGCAAATGGACTTCTTGCCGTGATACCTTCCTTCACCTTCTCCAAGTAACCAATAGGAACACTCGTCGGAAGCACTCTTCCCTTTAATCCATGTACCATCTTTCTCGAACCCTCTTCTGTCGCTTGACTTGTAATAAACTATTCTATACTATATTATATTATACAATAAAATAAGATACAATACAATACAATAATATATTATATTAAACTGTAATATATTACACTATACTATGCTATATTATACTATACTTTACTTTAAAATACTATTCAATATTATTTTAAACTATGCTATACTATACTAAACTAAGCTATACAATATAATATACTACACTATACTTGGCTATTATATATTATACTCTACTGTACTCTACTCTATAATGCTATGCTATACTATGTTATACTATACTATGCTATGCTTCTCTTGGTCCAAACTCAGAAGAATATGAGAATCCAGTCGCCTCAAGTGAGTTGAGAACTGGCAGATGAACTTCATTTCTTATAAGCACATTAATTGGCTCTCAGATGCCATTGGATTTCAGTAAGCCTCGCCGGCGGTACTGCATTCTCCTTCTGTCAGGACCGTCAATCCCGGTGGGACTCGATAGCGGAGCATGAGTGTCATTGCCACGACACCTACGACTCGGGTTCGAGTCCCGTTGGGGGTTAGGGAGGCTGATGAAACCAGTGGAGTCTCGTCCAGCCGGGATAAGAATACAATTTTGCAGGCAAGACCAAATGAAATCCAATGGCATCATTTGATTGTAAGAATAAGATAAATGAGTCTTCATTCGTTTCTGAGATTTGCACCGACCTGGTTGTCTACCAAGTTTCCATAAGCTCTAAGGGCAATTTGTTTGTTTCCAATTTGCCACTACAACTGAACACTGCCTTGTTTAAAGGTAATGCAAGTTGGGATCCAAAATATCATTAGATTGTAAACAAGACATCTAGTCACCTTTGATCGGGTCAGAAGATGATGGCCTGGTTGTTGAATTTTCCCACGATGCCATTGAATTCTATATAGAACTGCCTCCCAAAGGGTGTTTTCAACTTGAATCATACGCCATCTTGTGTTGGTGTCTATTTAGAGCAAATCGAATGTGTGGTGTAAATGGACTCCTTTTGTCACCTGGTTTCCATTTCAATTTAACACCTTCTCTATTTATCGGTTATTACGTCGGAGTAAGATTTACGAAGTAGGCCTTTTCGAGATTATGAGTAGCGACTTGACAACAATCTAGTCACAAAAAGTCGCTTAGGATGATTTGAGAACTTGGTGCAAAAGTTCTTACTTAACGATTACGGCTAATTTCTGTTTGTAAGTAGGACTTCGAGACAGCCATTAAATCTTGAATAATAAATGTGCTTGTACGATTTCGTTGAGGAGGGGAATTTGGTGGAAACCTGTGGCCTACTCATTCAAATGTGGGAAAATTTAACTACCCCTCCTTCATCACTTTAAACAAAACAGGATGAACATAGTTCTTAATTATTGATAGCCTCAAAAACTAATTACTTTGGAAATCCACAGATAGTAAACTTCGACATAAAGGCAGGCGACTAGAGGATTTACGGACAGGATCTTTCGATATTTTGAAACCTAAACTTTTCACCACATTTGGTTTACTGAGATAAAGGGTTGGTAGTTGAATTTTATCACACAACATATGAGTATACATAACGTTTCACAAGAGAAATTCACCTCCACAATGGATTGCCGTTTAGCCACAAACCTAGCTCGAACCTGGGCTGATGTGGTACAATGTATAGTCTCGACACGTTAACCACTAAGTCATAATGCCATGGGTGGGAATTTCTATAAGGCAAGGTTGTATTCGCTACTATAGTTGACTACATTGTCTAATTTTGTTTGTAAGTAGGCTATGGATGCTAACAAAAGATCACACATATATATATATATAAGGTATAAAGACCAAGATAGTGTGACTTTTAATATGTTTAAAATCCCCTTTTGCTGAAAAGAAGTCATTTGACCTTGTCTTTGCGACTTGCTCATATCAACAAGAATACCAAGAGGAACACATCTTGTCCGGAGTTCATAGTATGTATGATTATTTCCAGAGTCTCATCGTTGACTTGATACATTCCAATACGTTTCGCCGGGTACGTCAGTGATCTTTGCTCACTACAATACTTTGAACAAGTATCTGCAGAATAAGGGTGGCAACCGAACCCAGTTGTCTGTGGGCAATTGTTTCTTTGACGAGTTGTAGTGTGGTAATAAGAATGGCAGGACTCACTGACTATGCCAATGAAACGTCTGTGAATCTACCAATTCCACGGTCCGACAATGGAAATTGTCATGGATGCTATAGACTCCGGACAAGGTGCGTTCCTCTAGGTCTGCTTGCCAATATGACCAAGTTAAGAAAGCATCGTATATTAATGCCTACTTATGAAATAATCTAAGTAGTGTAATATATTGAGATGTAAAATTCAAGTTAACTTAAACAACAATCGTATTACAAAAGTTATGTGCCGTGTGATGGCCTAGGCTTCTTTGAAATTTATTTCTGCCAGGTGACTCTAAGGCGTTCGTGTAAGTTTGAAAGATAGAAATAACATCAACTCAGGTTTGAGTCCCGTTGAAATTGCTGATGCGACCAGTTGAGGCGAGGTCGAAACTCCAGTCCACTGCAGCCGAGATGAGAATACGTTTTGGCAAAGCGTTTTATGCTTGTGGGAGAATTCAACTACAACTATCATTTTATGAGGTGGATAGAAATTATTTCGCAAAAATATTGGGCATATTCAACTATTTTGTTTAGGGTGAGAAGTGGGCTATGGGGAGGAGAAGGAGGAGGAGAAGAAGGACAA